CAGGGGCTCCCCCGGTTCACCTGCTGAGACAGGGATTCTGTAGGACCAAGACTGTGCCGTGGAATCGGGAGCCCCTCACTTTTAGGAGGTCAGGGACGGAGGCGGTTCCCACTGCCACCAGCTTGGCCGTCCCAACCCGACATCTGCTGGTCCTCCACCCAGAGCCCCCAGGTCTCAGAACGCAGCCCCCAGACCTCACAACGAGGTCTCTTTCCTCGTAGCGTTTATAGCGCGTGATGATCAGGGCCCACACACCCGTCGTGTTTCCTTATTGCTGACATCTCTCGCTACACACTGGGCTGGCCAAAACGTTCCTTTGGTTTTCTCCATACAATGGCTGTAGTAGTGCTTAGTTGTCTTTAACTTTGTTCAAAACAATTTTGTTAGACCCTACTGTGACAGCTGTCATATCAGCATGCATTTTTTAAAAAACTTACCAAATTGGTGAATTTTTGTGCAGCCTTTTAACATTAAAGATGGGACAAGGTGCACAGCATTTCCAGCATGTTGTGTTTTATTATTTCAAGAAAGGTAAAAATGCATCTGAAACACAGACTTGTGAGTTGTGCGGAGGAGGAGGAGCGGTGCTCCCGAGACGGTGGTCCCGTCCCACCCGCAGCGGGGGGGACTCGGGGTGGCATGGGCTGTTCTGGGGGTGGTGCTGGCCGGTCGGTCGGTTGGGCTCGCACAGCCCACCAGGAGGCGCCGCTGAAGGGCAGTTTCCTCGTGCTGTGCCTTCGCTGGACTGTTTCCAGATCTTTAGTTCTGTTAACCTGTTGAACAGCCCAGCGCTGTGGCCAGGAAGGTTTTTCTCGCTGAAACTCAGGAACACACAGAGGGAAGTGTGAACATGGGCTCAGCTTGCAGCTGCCAGGGCCCCGGCCCGTCTGGCCCCGGCCCCCCTTGGAGACCACAGCGGACGGTGTGACCCCCAGAGGGGTCTGTTCCCCGAGCAGAAGATGAACGTTCAAGGCCAAAGTCTCGTTGCACGTGACCTTGGAGAGCTCGACCCTGCAGTCGTGGGCAAGCTGGAGTGAGCATGGGACTGTGAAAGGGGACGAGGGTGCCCTGCCAGGCTCCTTGTCACCTGATCTGTGCGACTGCTGCCTTCACCGTCCTGATGAGGCCGAGTCACCCCGTCTCCCGGTAGGGAAGTGCAGAAGCCACAGTTTGTTTCGTTCTTCGTCCTCGTGTTACAGATGACTTCCCTTCAGTCTCGTCTAGAGGAAAGCAGCGACAGCAGACGGGACCAGCGTTTCTTGAGAGGGGCCTGGTTGGGGGCCGTCAGTCCGGGGTGTCCACCATACACCAAGCTGGGGTGTTCCACCTCAGTGAAGCTGTGCCTTCGGGGACGCCCAGCCCCTCGTCACAGGGCGAGGTCCAGCTCCGTGGGGGGGGGGGGGGCTGCCTCCCGGTGCTCTCGGCTCAGGTTCCCAGGATGCACTGGGTGCTGAGTGTTAAAGTGTTTACCACACCATCGAGAGTTTCTGTTTATTTATTGAAATTCACTAGCAACTCAGTAGCGTCATTTACAGTGACAAGGACAGGACAGTGTTGGGGAGGAGTAGAGGCACCGCTCTGGGCACTTCTTTCATAAAAAGAGTTCAGCCTGGACGTGCGGCCGGTCGGCTCGCCGGAGCATCGGGGGAGGCAGCGCCCCAACGAGAGCCTCACGCGGTGTCTGGACAGGAAAGCCCCCTGCAGGCGTTGCTGTCCCGTCCGAGGTGTCCCATCCGTAACCACTGCGTGTGCCACTCGGGGGATTATGTCTGTTTTCCGTCTGAGCCCTTTACTGTCTGCCTCACGCCCCCAACCTAGGTAAGTGAGGAAGACCTGCCTTGTGCGTTGCGGTGGGGAGCGCATTCTGTGCAGCGTCAGTGAGCACCCCGAGCGAGACAGGGGGCTCCCGACTCGCCTGCCTGGGCCCGTCTGTGTAAAGGCCTGTTCCCTTTTCTGGAACAAAGGCAGCGTATTTCCCTGCAGCCTCTGCCCTGGACGCTGCTGATACCCGACAGGTGGTTTTAATTACGGAGAAGACTTCATTGTGAGTTTGTGCCGGCTCGTTGTGATGAGTCAGGCACCTCTCTGCACGAGCGGGGAGAGGGAAGCGGGAAGGCCCCGAGGTCCGAGGCCCCGCGGCCGCCTGTGGGGGCCCTCGGCCGCCTGCCCGGCAGAAGCGGCCCTCCGCCCAGCCCACTGCGAGCGCTGCTTCCCTGCATCTTGTTTTTCTTCGATTGTGAGCAGAAAGGAGAACTGAAGTGAAACTGAGCACATTGATAAAAATGTGTCCTCACCACAGAGAGGTTATTTCCTGAAAAGATCCTCTCTGCTAGGAAGGATCGTGAGAAGCACCCCGGGCTGGTGATGCCCTTCGCAGTTTCAGACGCGTCTGCTGGCTCCGCCGTGGCTCCCGAGACCCGGCAGCCGCGTCACGCCGTCTCAGTCCCTCCAAGCCGATCTGTCACAGACGTGGTGGCTGGAGCGGCGGGTCCGAGAGTGGTGGGGGTTGGCTCTGCAGCAGCCCCCAGAGCAGCTGCCACTCGGGCCTCGCCAAGCGCCATGTGTGCTGCCCCCCGGAGGTCCTGGGCCTGTCCTGCCAGCTCTGCAGGTGTCAGAGGCTAAAAAAGAAGCCCCTGCCCCTCAGCACTAGTGTCCCCTGGAAGAGCCTGTGGGTGCGGGGTGGGGGCGGCTGCGTCAGTGTGAAAACACGTGCAGACAAAGGACATAAAGAGCTGTAGCTAGTAGCTCAGGGGTCATCAGTTGAGTTGCACTTGGCCTCTTGCTGGCCGGCACTGCCCTCTGTTGTGCTTCCTCGTGGGACCGGCTTCTGGGTGCAGCAGTGATACGACCCGGTGGGGCGCTGAGACCCGAGTCTCCACCACCACCCAGCAGGTGGTGGCCGTTGGCACGTGCTCACTGGACCAGGCTCGGTGGGGTCAGAGCAGGGGTCCGGGAGCCGGAGCCCGCGTCCTGGCGGTGGCCATGGCCACCTGCCCCTGCCTGTCCCTCAGACAAGACTGATAGGCTTGTGGGCGGAGCGCTTGCTCAGAGCAGAGACGCTGGGGCAGCGGTAGGTCCGTGAGAAGTCGCCGAGGGAGCCTCTGTGTGCCCTCCCCCAGTTCCCCGAAAGGTGACCACGCTCACGGCCAGAAGACAGACCCTCGGACGCTCAGCATGGGGGACAGCAGGGTGTCCTGTCACTGTGAGCATCCTTCAGGTCTCCCTCTCGGAGCCCCGTCCGCGCTCCGCTGCCTTCCCGGTGCTGCCCGTGCCGTGTGTCCTCGTTGCAGCCCCACGTTCGCCTGCTGAGGACACGTCCCATCTCTGCCCCAAGCCTTGGCGATGGCGAGTGAGGCCGGGGGAACGCCGTTTTGTGTTCCCAGGACAGAAGCCCCAGATGCGGTTTCGGGGTCGGTGGCAGTTGTGTGTTTGAGCTGAAGAAAGCGCTGAGCGGTTCTCCTGAGCAGCTGGAGAGTGCGCTGCTCATTTTTGCTTGTTTGGTCTTCAAAGTGCCCAGCGGTGGACGGGAAGACCCTGGACAGCGCACAGTGGACCAGGGCTTCAGGGTTGGGGCAGAGGGGCCTGCCGGGGCCCTGCTGAGACCCCCCCCCCCGCACAGGCCTTCCCGGCCCCCAGCTCTCCTTGCAACACAGCAGGGACGAGAGCGCCCCCACGGCACCGATTCCCGAGTGTGGAGCTGGAGGCCCCTTCCCTCCTCGTGACCTGAACTCCGTTTCAGGCTGCGCCCGCTGTTCAGGGCCCAGGGCCCGTTCATCTGTGTGGGTGCCTGTGTGTGCTTGTGTGCCCGAGTCCATGGGCCTCGTCCTTGTTCTCCTACACCACTAAGTTGTGCACGTGTGTGTGCGTGTGTGCGTGCTGGTGAGGGTGCTGGGAGCCAGGCAGGATTCTCTCGTGGGTGGGGCTCGAGGCGGAGGCGGAGGGAATGCCGCCAGGGCTCCCCCCAGCTGCAGGGAGGAAGGAAGGGGCCGGGAAGTGGGCGGGGGGCCCATGATGACTGGCACAGGGTGGAAGAGGGGACCTGAGGGGAAACCTGGGCAAGAGGGGGCATGTGAGCTGCTGGACTCCCGGCCCAGTGAGCGAGGTTGCGGTGGGCGTGCTCTCGGGGAAGGGCGGTGGGCCTCGAGTGGAGAGGGTGTGAGCAGCAGGGACCACTGGCTTGTGTGGCTGCTTTCGCGTTCCAGTGTCCTTCCGGTCCAGTGTGACCGCCGCCCACCCCCCACCGGAGGGCCAGGCAGGTGGGCCCCTCTGGCTCTCAGGTGACCCTCACTGCCGGGAGGGCAGAGTGAAACCCCTGTGGGGCAGATAAGCCCCCTCCCCCAGCTTAGAGTCAGGCCCTGGGTGGACGGGGCCACAGGAGAGGGCGGAGCAGGCTCACTGTGCCCTGATCGCCTCCCCTGGTCCCAGGCTGCTTGCTTGTCTCTAAGCCTGAGGACTGTTAAGCCTGAACGGACGTCGTGCCACCTGATCCTCCTCAGGGACCGGTGACTCCGACATCCCCTGGGACAGCAGAAACCAGCTGTGAAAAAACCTAGCGTGGAATCCGGGCAGCTGTCTGCTCACGTGTGTTAGGGAATTCTGGCCCCAGAGTAGCCCCTAAAGTGAACTTGTCACGAGACAAACTCACTGGAAAGGAAGTGGCTTTGCACTTCAAGATCCGGAAGCAGCCCTGGCTGGTGTGGCTCAGTGGATGGAGCACCGGCCTGAGAGCCAAAGGGTCTCTTGCTTGATTCCCAGTCGGGGCACATGCCTGGGTTGCCAGCTGGGTCCTCAGTAGGGGGCACGTGAGAGGCAATCACATATTGATGTTTCTCTCCACTTTCTCCCTCCCTTCCCTCTCTGAAAATAAATAAATAAAATGTTTTAAAAACGTAAAGAACTGGAAGCAGTGTCCAGGCTAGAAATCAGGGGGGGTGGGGACCTCCAGGGACCTGCCCGGGACCTAGCACACGGGGGTCTCATTGTCCTTGTGTTCCTCGCAGACCCAGAACATTCAGCTGAGCAAAGAGATGACACTGGCCAGCAACCGGAGCCTGGCGGAGGGGAACCTCCTGTTCCAGCCCCGGCTGGACGCGCTGAAGGCCGGGCTGACCCAGAAGTACCAGGAGCTGCGGGTGCTCTTCGAGGCCTACCAGCTGAAGAAGACCAAATTAGGTAACCCTTTGGGGCGGCCTTTTGAGAGCGGAGCTGGGGGAGGCTCACGCTTTTGCCGGCCGGGAAAGCAGTGTTCATACGGGGAAAATAGCAGTTGGGCCGTGATCGCCCTGGGCTCGAAGAAACAGTTTTTTGTTTTTTTTTTCCAAATACTGACTAAGTGCTACTTTTTATTTTATTTTATTTTTTAAAATTTTATTTATTTATTTTTCGAGAGAGGGGAAGGGAAGGAGAAAGAGTGGGAAAGAAATATCAGTGTATGGTTGCCTCTTATGCATCCCCTGCTGGGAACTGGCCTGCAACCCAGGCAAGTGCCCTGACTGGGAATCGAACTACGATACTCTGGTTCGCAGGCCCGCGCTCAATCCACTGAGCTACACCAGCCAGGGCTCAAAGAAACAGTTTGCGTGTGGGGCCGTGACCGGTGTCTCCCGCTCACGGCCGAGAAAGGCCGTCATCCGAGGGTTCCGCCTGTGCAGGCAGGCGCTGGGAGGCGGTGGAGGAAGCCAGCCCCTCGGGCTGGCCTATTTTGCTCTTGCACCTCAGTGCACAGCCCCTGGGGGTGCGTGGGCAGGTTGCAGGGAGACCGTGGGGTGCCCGGCTCAACGCCGTCTGCTTAGTGCGGGTTGCAGTGGCGCCCCTGCGCTGCCTCTGGGCCCGGCAGCAGAAATGCGACCTGGTGAGACCGCCTTGGAACAGCCCGTGGCAACAGCCCCAGCACAGGGGACGCACACTCTGACTCTGCCCCCCGCACGGCCCCCACGGACTCGGGTGTTGGTGTCCCTTCGAAAAATGGCACCGCAGTGCCAGCTGGGTTGTCTGGGAGAGCGGCTGGACTTGGGGGCTGCCTGGGTGGCCTCCGTGGAACGTGGGCTCCACCGAGGTGACAGACGGGGGGTACGGCTCCTGCAGCCCACGGCCACCTGAGAGACGAGGTGTCAGTGAGCAGGGCTGCCCGGGGTGGGGGTGGGGATGCACCCAGAGACCCTGTTGGGGGCGGGGTCATGTGTGTGTCAGGTCAGGCCCCGCAGTTCGGATGTGTGTGCCGTGTGGGAGTTAGTCCTGGGGCTCCAGGGCCCTGGGCACGGGGTCAGCGTCACACGCTCAGTGACTGCCCTCTGACACTGGGTGGGCGCTCTGGTTCGGGATGTACCGCTCTGGGGACTCGCTGCCAGTGGGGGGGGCTGTTGCCCTGTGGCCCCAGGGCTCTTTGTGGAAGGGTGGCAGGAGGAGGGTGGGCTCTGCTATTTGGGGGCCAAGCGGTGTCCCCCTCACACTGCCCGTTTTTTTTCCAGACAGCCAGCCCAGCAGCGCTTCCCTGGAGACCCTGCTCGCACTCCTTCAGGCGGAAGGAGCCAAGATTGAGGAGGACACGGAGGTAAAGCCAGTCAGTGTCCCTGGCCCTGTCCCTCCCAGGCGGTGAGCCGGGCAGCTTGGCCTGTGGGCCGAGGAAGGGCTGCAGAGCTCCTGGTTGTCACGTGGGGGGAGTGCTGCCCTGACTGGGCGAGGGTCCCAGGGGCGCCGGTGGCTGAGGCGCTGTCTGCTCTGAGTGGTGAGCGGGCAGTACTCGGCCGTGGCAGGCTGAGCACCAGTGAGCTGAGTCCGGGTGGGGGGCGGGGCAGGCGTAGCTGCGGCCACGTGGGTGGCGCAGTGTGAAGATCGGCCTGGCGGGCAGGAGCCAGTTTCTGTCCTGCGGACCCCGTATGTGGCCAGGTGCAGCCCGAGGAGGGGGACGGATGGGGGGGGACGGGCTGCAGCCCACATCAGGAGAGAGGGCAGGAAGTAGGCGCGGTGGGGGCCTGAGGAGGAGAGGCCGGCCGGAGTCCGGAGGAGGCTGTGCCGCCTCCCCCTGCACGGGGGGCTTTCCTCCCCAAGGGCTAGGCCGCTCTGTAACCTGGCGTTTCCTGCGGCTTCAGAACATGGCGGAGAAGTTTCTCGATGGGGAGCTTCCTCTGGACGCCTTCATTGACGTCTACCAGAGCCAGCGGAAACTGGCCCACGTGCGGAGAGTCAAGATCGAGAAGCTCCAGGAGATGGTGCTGAGGAGGCCGAGGCTGCCGCCGGCCCCAGCCCCGCTGCTGCTGCCCAGGGCGGCTGAGCCTGCGCCCGCCTCCCCGCTGCCCTGCCCCGCCCCGGAGGCCAGCGGGGCCCCCTCCGTGATGCCACGGCGCATCCCGCCCCCAGTGCCTGCAGGACGCTTAGCCACACCCTTCACCGCTGCCATGGGATCGGCACAGGCCTCCGCGTACCCAGGACCGCTGTGCCCTCCCCTGCCCCCCCGTGTGGGCCTGCCCCTCCAGCAAGGATTCTCTGCGCAGTTCGTGTCGCCGTTCCCACCACCACTCCCCCAGAGACCCCCTCCTCGGCTGCCTCACCAGCCAGGCTTCATCCTGCAGTGAGGGGCTGAGTCCGGCCGGGAGACGCCGCACTCAGGAGGCCAGAACGGCTGGGCGGCGGTGGTGAGGGCCTCGGGGCCCTGGTTCGTGCCCCAGCCTCCGCCTGGCCCCGACCTTGAGCCAGTTTGCAATCTCCATGTGGTTTCTGAGTCTTGTGTTGGTGAACTCGTGAACCCGGGAGCCGCACCCCCCCAGAGTCGTGGCCTCCCATTGCACGGCTCCCCGTTTCTGCTTTGTTTTTAAGACGGTTGCTGCCCCAGCCTGTCACAGCCGGGAAGGTGCTCGTGGAGTCTGTGGGGCCGCCCCTCCCCCAGACCGGGACCTCCTCAAAGCCACAGACAGGGTTTGTGCTTGGCCCACTGCCATGTCCAGGGCCAGCCCGCGGGCGGGGGGCCGGACTTTGCACAGCAGCTGCGGCCCGGCCCCTCCGGTCTCGCCCGCCTCCGCCAGCCCCAGGGTTTCTACGAAGTAGTGCTCCAATATTTTTACATGTGGGTGATTTTCCTGTTTTATATTGGGAAAGAAAACTTTTTTGACACAAGACCATTCAGGGAAACTTTATAAAAACATTGTTTTGAGCAGCTCTAAACGCAGATGGCGTGAATGCAATTTCTTGTCTCAGAAGCAGTGCGTGGTTCCACCGGCGACCCGCGGGCCCATGGTGTGTGCCTTAGCTTCGCCTGGTGCCGGGGAGGGGCTGCCCCCGCGCCCCGCAGGCCCCGCCCGCCCCGCCCCAGCGCCTCCGGCTCTGCGTTCAGGGAGGGCTTGGTGCAGGCGGAGGAGCAGCCCACCCCCTGGACCGGGAACCCCTCAGCCACTCTCCCCTGCAGTCACAGTGGGGGCAGGGACCCGGCAGGAGGGAGGTCGCCCCACAGAAGAGGGTGCCAACAAACTAGGCCGCTCCCCCTGCCTCTCTGGGAGCCCGTCTAGGGGTGCCACGCGTGCTGAATTCAGCCTGGTGCAAGCGAGTTACCACCTGCTGTTGACAGGCTGGTGCTCAGCTGTGGCCACACCCCGGCCCCCTGTGAGGCCACAGTAAAAGCAGAGCTCTTACTAATAGCCTGTCCTGGTGGGGCCGCCAGCCTCTGTACCCCATTTCCACCCAGTTCTGCTCCTGGACTTGAACTCTACTGTGTTGTGACGGTTTTGAAAGAAAACAAAGCTGGAAAGGACAACGTACTAGCACGCCAATCCGGCCTGCCACATGTCGCGGGTCTCGGGGCAGCGCCGCTCGCCCCGATACCTCCCGCTGTTCGTCGCAGGGCGCAGCCCGCCGCGCCACTCCGTGCAGACGTGGGGGAGGGGCTGCCCGGTCCTGCCGGCCTCACCGTCTCTGCAGGGCCGAGGCTGTAACATGTAGGACCCTTTTTAATAAATAGAGAATTATGAATGAGACCTGTCATTTAGCTACCTCTTTGTGATGAGCTTGATTCTCGAGTGGCAGTGAAGCGGACTGGTGTGCCAGCCGAAGATGAAAATAGAGGCCACCGCGCTGGGTGCACTGCCTGCTGGTCCCGGGGCGCGGCCTCAACAGTGGAGCCTCGGGCCTGTTCTAAGTCAGGGGCGGAGGGAAGCTTGTTCTTCATGTGGCTTTGGGGCCGAGGCTGCCCTTTCTGTCCCCAGGGCTGTCCCCACGTGCTACACAGCTCACGAGAATTAAGATGTTCTTGTTTTAAATGATAGAATTCAGTGGCTGCCACTTTGCTCTGGGGACTCGCCCCCGGGTGAGGTGTGTCCTTCTGGAGGAGGCCCAGGGACCCTCACTGCCGGCTGTTCGGGCGCTGCCGTGGGAGGCACTTTTCTTGGTGGGAACACAAGGGGGACTCAGAGCGAGGTCCCTGCCACCACTCCCTTCCTGCCACTGCGCTGGCGGGACACGTGGGAGACACTGCTGTGGGTGGCCTGTGAGAACGAGGGAAGCGTTTCCTGAGAAAGCGACTGGCTTTGTTATTTAAGAGAATTTGTAGCTGATGGTTTATCTTTTCCCAGTGGCTGCCCGGAAGCTCACAGCCAGATTCACAGTCCCGCCCCCACTGCGGGCAGTGTCCTGGATGAGGGTTCGGTGAGTCATTCATTCTTGTCTGACCTGCTCCTGCCCTCCTGGTCCTTTGCTCAGGAGGAAGCCCAGGGAGGGACAGTACCTGACCTGAGGCTGCTCCTTTGGGGTCTCCAGTTAAAGGTTTGCTCACTGAGGACTGAATGTGAGTTCAGTTGGAGCCAGTTCGAGTTGAGGTTCACCGGCTTGTGTTGGGTGGAGAGACTCATCCACTTCAAACTCCCTTCTGAAGCTGTTTTCCCCTGCGAGTGAGAACAGGCATCTGCCCTAGAAAAGAAGGAAATCTTCCCCTTTGTGGCAGCGTGGACGGCCCCGGAGAACAGGATGCGGAGGGACAGATTTCAGTCATGTGGCATCTGACGAACAAAATAAATGAACAGGCAAAATACAGACTCACATGCAGAGAAGAGACTGACAGCTGTCAGAGGGGGGTTTGGGGGGATTGGGTGAAAAAAAGTGAAGGGATTAGGAAACAAAAAAACAAAAAATCCAACCCTCAGACAGAACAGTATGGTGATCACCGGAGGGAAGGGGGTGGGCCAGGGAGAAAAGGGTAAAGGGGGCAAGAAATGGTGATGGGAGCGGACTTGGGGCGCCGAACATACAATACAACATACAGGTTATGCATTCTAGAATTGTATACCTGAAGCCTATATAATTTTATTAACCAATGTCACCCCAATAAAACCAGTACAAATACTCATCAAATGCTAGGTGTTTGTCAAGATACTGGGCACATTAAACATAACACGCCACCTGCACGGGCTTCTTGTTCTTACTGGGTAAACAGATAAACACGAGTCAACGAACTAATCGATAATCTGCTTTCTAGAGAGTGCTCACGCCGTGCCACGAGGAAAGTAAAGTTTGACACGCCCTGGCTGGCGTGGCTGTGTTGAGAGCCCGCCCGTGAACTGACACTGCTTGATTGCTGATCAGAGCACACACCTGGGTTTCAGTCCCGGAGCCCCGTTGGGGGCGTGAGGCAACCAACTGATATTTCTCTTTCTCCCTCCCTTCCTCTCTCTCTAAAAATAAATAAAATATTTTTTAAATAATAAAGTAGCCCTGGCTGGTGTGGCTCAGTGGATTGAGAGCCAGCCTGAGAACCAAAAGGTCACCGTTTTGATTCCCAGTCAAGGCACAGGCCTGGGTTGCCGGCCAGGTTCCCAGTGGGGGCCTGTGAGAGGCAATCACTCATTGATACTTCCCTTTCTCCTGACCTTCCCTTCTCTCTAAAAATGAATAAATAAAATCTTCTTTAAAAACTAATAACATTTCATTTGAAAACATCACTGTCTTGCTAACATTTATTGAGTGTGATTTGTGGTAGGCAGTCTGCTAAGCAGTTGTACGGGGATGGGCAAAAGCAGGTTTGCATGGAAAGACACAGGTTATGACAACAAGATCCTCAGTTCTCAAACTTAATTAGTTTCAGAAGGCTGCGGGAGAGGTGATTTGTTCAAAAACGGAATCACGTTTTTCCCATTAGAAACACAGTATCAGGCCTGGCAGGTGTGGCTCAGTGGACTGAGTGCCCGCCTGTGAACCAAAGGGTCGCTGGTTCAATTCCCAGTTCAGGGAGCATGTTTGGGTTTCGGGCCAGATTCCCCAGTAGGGGGCGTACAAGAGGCAACTACACATTAATGTCCCCCCCCCCACACCTCTCTCTGTAAATAAAAATTTTTTAAAAAGAGGCCAGGGAATGGACACTTGTCTGAGGCCACACAGCAACCAGGAGCCATCCAAGCTGACCACTGCCCCTGCCCCCACACCTGCGCTTAATTGGTTGACTAAGTGGATTGAGCCGCAGCTGCAACCAAAGGGTTGCAGGGCACGCGAGGAGCAGCTACCTCACACCCATGTTTCCCTCTCTTCCCCGCTTCCCTTCTAAAAACAAATTAATACAAATCTTTTAAAAAAAAAAAGCGTCGTTGTGAAAGGACCGTCGAGTGGAGAACCCAAGCTCTGTTCCACAACTGAATCATTTTTCCCGGGAATAGCCTCGCTGAGCACGGAACTGCTCCACGTGGGAAGCGCCAGGAGGACCGAGGATTGCAGGTCACAGTAGCTGCAGTATCGCGAGGGAACGTACGTCGCACCGCGGCCGTGACCGCGCTCGGCCGCGCCCCGCACACGTCATCGCACGCAACCCTCCGCCTTGCCCCACGGCGCCCTGGGTGCCTGCCCTTTCCACGCGAGGCTGCCTGGGCGTGGACGATTCATCCTCTTCCTCCGGCACAGCACGATTGTAAGTGGGGGCAGCGTGACTCCAGGCCTGTGCCTGCCCGTGGGGGAGCCCGATTTCTGTAGAGGGCTTTTCCCGCTCAGCGGTGTTTAGTCCCGACCGTGTGGCTCAGCGGGGCGGTGAGGTTCAGTGGGTTGGGCGTCTTGGCAAAAGGAAAGGTCGCTGGTTGGAATCTGAGATCAGGGCACCTGTGTTGTCGGCTCAGTCCTCAGGACATGTGTGACGTGCGACTGATGGGTGTCTCCCTCTCACACTGGAGTATCTTTCCCTCTCTCTAAAAATAGATTAAACAAGCCCTGGCTGGTGTGGCTCAGGGGACTGAGTGCGGGCCTGTGAAACAAAGGGTCAGGGTTCAATTCCCAGTCTGGGCACATGGCTGGGTTGCGGGACCGCTTCCTGGCAGGGGATGCGGGGGAAACACCACACATTGATGTTTCTCTCCCACTCTTTCTCCTTCCCTTTCCCTCTCTCTAAAAAGTAAATAAAATATTTTTTTAAATAGATTAAACAAAATTTTTTTCTTTTTTTATTTATTTTTTTATTATGCTGTTACAGTTGTTCTATTTCCCTCCCTTCATTCCCCTCCACCCTACCCCCCCCCGTCCCCACTATTACCCCCCCTTTAGTTTATGACCATGTGTCTCAAGTTCTTTAGATTCTATATTTCCCATACTATTCTTGCCACCCCCATCTATTTTCTATCTACTGTCTATGCTACTTATTTTCTGTACCTTCTCCCCCCTTCCCCTCCTCCCACTCCCCTGTTGCTAACCCTCCAGGTGATCTTCATTTCTATGTTTCCACTCCTGATCTAGCTGTCCTTTTAGTTTGCTTTCGTTTTAGGTGTGGTTGTTAATAACTGTGAGTTTGTTGTCCTTTCACTGTTCATGGTTTTTTTTTTTTTTTAAGATTTTATTTATCTTTATACGGGAAGGGAAGGAGAGAGGGAGAGAAACATCAATATATGGTTGCCTTTCATGTGTCCCTTGCTGGGAATTGGTCTGCAGGGAACTGGTCTGCAACCCAGGCATGTGCCCTGACTGGGAATCGAACTGCGATTGTCTTTTTAGCAGGCCCGTGCTCAATCCACTGAGCTACATCAGCCAGGGCTTTGTTCATGTTTTTTTAACTTCTTTTTCTTAGATAAGTCCCTTTAACATTTCATATAATAAGGGCTTGGTGACGATGAACTCCTTGAATTTGATCTTATCTGAGAAGCACTTTATCTGTCTTCCATTCTAAATGAAAGTTTTGCTGGATAGAGCAATCTTGGTTGTAGGTCTTTGGATTTCATAACTTGGAATACCTCTTTCCAGCCCCTTCTTGCCTGTAAGGTCTCTTTTGAGAAATCAGCTGACAGTCTGATGGGGACTCCTTTGTAGGTGACTGTCCTCTTAGCTCTTGCTGCTTCTAGGATTCTCTCCTTCATTTTAATCTTGGCTAATGTAATGATGTGCCTTGGTGTGTTTCTTCTTGGGTCCAAGTTCTTTGGGACTCTCTGAGCTTCCTGGATTTCCTGGAAGTCTATTTCCTTTGCCAGAATGGAGAAATTCTCCTTTATTATTTGTTCAAATAAGTTTTCCACTGGTGGCTGTGCCTTTCCCCCTTCTGGTACCCCTATAATTCAGATGTTGGAGCGTTTAAAGATGTCCTGGAGGTTCCTAAGACTCTCCTCATTTTTTTGAATTCTTTTTTTTTTTAATATTTTATTTATTTATTTTTCGAGAGAGGGGAAGGGAAGGAGAAAGAGTGGGAGAGAAACATCAATGTATGGTTGCCTCTCATGCGTCCCCTGCTGGGAACTGGCCTGCAACCCAGGCATGTGCCCTGACTGGGAATTGAACCGCAATACTCTGGTTCCCAGGCCCGCGCTCAATCCACTGAGCTATGCCAGCCAGGGTTGAATTCTTGCTTCTTGACTCTTTTCTGTTTGGCCATTATTTGCTTTCTTCTGGTCCACTCCATTGATTTGAGTCCCAGTTTCCTTTTCATCGCTATTGGTTTCCTGTGCAATTCCATTCATTTCAATTTTTTGAAATTTGCCTTCATATGTTTGCCTTCATATGTTTGTCTAATTTGTGGCTAT